GAAGTAGATTGTTGGAATGGAATGCGTTCTCTCTCCCTGAAGGGACACTTCCTGCCAACTAAAGCTGGAAAGTATTAGGTGCAGGTTGCCAAGAGCCAAGGCTTGGGGACCCCAGAGTGTCGTTGGTGTATTGCTGGAGTCTAACCAGCTAAAACCCGAATAATACTCCCTCAAAAACAAAACAATAATAAATTGGTCATTTTCACTCTGCGACTTGTTTGTGGGACACTGCTGTGCGCAATTGGTTGCCGCGTTTCGCCCACAAATATACAGTCAATTCACTTTACAGTCTATTCTGTGAAGCACTTTGAGACGTCGAGAAGACGTGAAAAAGCGCTATATCAAACGCAAGGATTATTATTATTATTAAAACCGCATAGCTTGCCATTGATAGGACCACCCTACCTTTTTAGGGCTTTAGCTTGTAGGTCCTCCCGATGAGCAAGGCTAGCTGTGCTGTCATCAGCAGTGCTCTGGAGCATGCGGATCCACCTGGCAAAGGACTACTGAGATCACTACAGAGGACTGGCTTGATTCCGACATTCCATTGCCAGGCAAGTCACCTACTTACCTCCCCCCAAGGAGCATAGTCAGTTAATCCTTCAACATCTGACTAGCATGGGTTTGAGCCCTCACTAGGTGGATGGTAGGTATAAGGAGCTCCCTGCGAACTTTCTGGTAGGTGACACATCTCAGCGTGAAATGTGTGAGAGTGTTGCCACCATTTATCTACCAGGAACGCCTTCCAGCAGCTGTCGCCCCAAGCCTCAGTGTTTCCTCAGTAGCTATCTGGAAGACATCTGCCTTCAGCTTGGTGGGTTGTGATGTGCCAGACACATTGATGTTCTTGGGGTCCAAATCCATACGAGGCTTAAAGGGCCTTCTAGATTCAAAACTAGTCTTTTACCATTTACTACATAGTATATCGAATTACTAGAACCATAGAAATTAACAGCACAAAAGCCATTCGGACCATCGTGTATGTGCTGGTTCGTTTAAGAGCATTGTTTCAGTCCCATTTATCTACCTTTTCCCCAAAAAACTGCCTTGTCACTTTCATAGAAATTAGCTGATTATTAATATTAATATTTGAATGTACAAAACTGACAATATCCCTGTTGTAATCCTATAGATGCCTGTAAAATCAAACACTTACTTTCTGAACATTTTCACTGAATAAACTGACAGATCATAAACTTATATTTGTAGGAAAGAATGTAAAACATTGTCCTAGTTTCTCAGAGGGTAAAGTGTTTAGGGAGGTGGTGATAGATTGGCTCACTGCCTTGTTATTAAGAACATTCTGCTTAATGAGAATCCAGAGATTACAGCTGTGTTTTCTCTGGACAAGACATTAGGTTTCAACAACTCCCTAAAATATATTGAAAACAGAAAACTAAACTGCTGCAATTTCTATTAAGAATAGCAATTATACATTGTAAGGGCAATTTCTGTCAATGAAAGAATGACATAATACACTGCACATTTCATTGATCACAAGTTACATATCTTGCCTTAGTGACATTATCCTCATCACCCCCACCCTCGCCTGGCTCCACTGGCTCCCCATCCCTCTGAGGATAGGATTCAAAATCCTTGTCCTCGCCTTCAAGGCCCTCCATGGCCTTGCCTCTTCCTACCTCAGTAACCTGCTGACCCCTTTATCAACCTGTCCACTCCCTCCCTCAGCAGGCAGCAGCATGCTCCACATCTCCCACCCGGCCCGCACCGCCATCGGCAATCGGGCCTTCAACCTCTCCGCCCCCCCCCCACACTTTGGAATTCCATCCCGGATTCCTTTTGCCTCGCTCCCTCCCTTGCCTCCTTCAAGGCATGTCTCAAGACCCTCTTCTTCGACCGTGCCTTCGGCCACCCTCTAACCCTCCACCCTCTCTTGCCCCAACCACCCCCCCGCTTGGATCCAATGCCTGTGCAGTGCCTCGGGTGTCCTGACACGAAAGGCACTATACAAACATAATTTTGTATTGAATTAATATATTGGTTACAACTGTTTATATCTAAAATATTGCTTTTTGACATATAATAATCCTTACAGCACCTTTCATGGCTGAAAGCTCTTCACAAGATATACTGTAAAGTATAGTGACTAGTGTTTTGTGAGTAAATGAGGCAGCAGGTGTGCACACAGCAATGTCCTACAAACTACCGTTCAGTGAGTAACCAATTTTATTTGGGGGATTGTTGGCCAGGACACCGGGAGACACTCCCTTCTCTTTTTGAATAGAGCCCTGTAATCTTTAACATCCACCTTGACAGGCTGTCAATTTAATGTCTCATTCGAAGGACGGGACCTCCAACAAATGCTGATGGTGTGCTGTATTGAAGTGTCAGCTTAGAGAATGAGTTCCAAGTCTTGAAGTGGGGCTTGAACCCACAATCTTCTGACTCCGAGGCAAGATTGCTACCAATTGAGACTGGCATTATTAGTTGTGGGAACAGTAGAGATTAAGGATTCAGCAGAAGATCTATAAAACATGTAAATTGTTTCTACAGTTGGACAGATAAATTGTAAATGAAAAATAAATGTAAATGGAATAAATGTTTCATTGTAAATGGAAAATAAGTAAGTGCTTTATCAAATCATGAAAATCACAAAGCACTTCACAACGTTTCTTTAAAGTGCTGGGAATCTTTAGGTAACTATGGCAGAAAAAAATGACAACAATGTCCAACAAACAGCCAATCGGCAAATTTTTCTTTTACCTGGGGAGCTGTTCGCCAGGACACTGGGAGGAACTCCCCTTTTTTTCAAAATAGTATCATGTTCACTTTAACATGAACCTGAACAGGAGGATGATTCCTCACTTTAACATCCATTCCTAAAGATGATATCAGACAATCCAAAAACTGCTTTTTTCTAAAGTTAGCTAGGTATTGGTTACACATGGAAACCCATCTATATTCAGTCAGGTGTCAGTGTAGAAAAAAAGGTTAAATGTGCAATTGTGCCATCATTACTGTGTATTTGAAATAAGCAGCACTTTTGTAACCTACCAATTTCATAAATGAAAGCACATTTGCCATAGCATGCTCTTAATCTTTTGTCATTTCAAGGACTGGATTCGACCCAAAAAACTTTGGTACATCAAAACGTTGTCCTTGTTAGCCTATCTGAAATGCGTAAGACAACAATGTTAAGTTGCCCAAAGAAATGGATAACTATAGCAATATGTACAATTTGAATAGAACCAGAACAGCAATGTTGCGTCACAATATTTCGTTTTAGCAGAGTCAGTAAAAGTACAGAAAAACTCAATGATTTTGCAATCACCACAGATGAAGCTAAAATTCATACAACTTGAATCACTTATTCAGCTGTTCATGGCAGGCAGCCATGAAACCCGAGTAATCAAAGTAGTTTGGTTTTAAAATTGACAGTGGGATTTGTGTATTGCTATATTTCTGACATCTAGAAATTTATAGCACAGAAAAGGCCATTCGGAACATATTTGACACTTGTATCTTTGTGCTGATACACAAGCCAGATGGCAGCCCCAGGGATGAAGTTTGTGTGCGTGTATGTGTGGGGGATGGCATGTATAACTCGCCAACTTCAAACACCGTTGAGACTAGAAAACTCTGAATATATAATAACCTCATAAATTTCAAAACGATTCTGCTGTCAAACTACAAACTTGGATCTTACTGTGAGTCCTCAAATTTATATTCTGCAGTCATGACAATAGACTTTTGCCTTCTTCAATCCACATTATTTTAGCTCTCATTGTTATTCATGAAATGTTATTAATTTTAATAACTTAAACAATTTTTTACTGCAACAAATAATAGTACTTACATTTGGTATAGATCCTTTCATATTAGGAAGATATTCAATAAGCTTAACGCTATATATAAAGCCCAGTGACTGTGTTTTGTTGGCAAACATAGCAGCCAATTTGTGCACAGCAATGTCCTAAAAACATCCATGGAGTGAACGACTAATTTTATTTGGGGCATTGTTGGCCAGGACATCAGGAGAAACTCTTGTTTTAATATCTCATCCGAACGACAGGATCTTTATCAAGTACCCCCACCGTACTGCATTACAGAGTCAGTTTATATCAGGGGGTCCAACTGGCGGCCCATGGGCCACATTCAGCCCGTGGGATGATTTTGTCCGACACCCAAACTATTTCCAACTTTGGGCCATTCGCTGTCTCCCTTCCGTAATCTCAGGGTAGCAACAGGAGCTGGCGGATGGGAAGACACGGTTGCTACGATGTATCAGGATGTCCCTCTCGACCTGAGGGGAAGGCAAGTGGGTCTCCTTAATAACTGTGTCTTCCCAATCACTGGCTCCTGCTGCTGCCAGATAGTGAGCCACCTGCCTGGCCAAGAGTGCAGATCCATAACCATTTTGCCCCTGCTCTCTGGAGCTCCACAGTCCCTCTGACTCGCTTCCTCCTCTCCTCTTTCAAGGCCGAACCGTGCTTTCAGTCATCTTTTCCACTCCCCACCCCACCTCCCTTGGCTCCTACACAGTACTTTGAGACATCCTTCCGACATGGCAAAGGTGCTGTGTAAATGTTGTTATGTTTCTGGAAGAGAAACACAAAAATATTGATTATGTCGCCTGTGGACATTTCTCAAATCCAGCATCAGGTGCTCAAGGAGCCAAACGTGTGGACCATTCGTATACAATATGAGGTCCAAGTCCTAACATGGGACTTGAACCCACAACCTTCTGACCCAGAAGTATTAGTGCTACCAACTGAGCCAGTTCAGCTCCAAAGAGACCCCTCTCCCCTTACATCCCTGCCTCAGGACCTGAGGAGGATTGTCACTACTTGATCATTTGACATCTGACAAGTGCAGGTTAGAGCCCTCACTAAGTGGATTACAAATACCAGTAACTCCTACTAAATTGTACAGCTCAGCATGAAATGCGTGAGAACATTGATGTAAATTGTGGCACGTTAGCCCTAGGAAATGAATTTGCTATGCGGTAGCTGATAGGGAATTTGGTTTTCTTTTGGCAGGTATCTCAGTTGACCTGGATCGAAAGGAAGACAGCCTCAGCCTTTTATGGAGCTCCTCCTACAGCCACCATTCATGATGCTCTACAGAACTTTTTAAAGGTATGCCTTGGTTTATGAATCCACATAAAAGTGGGGGAATCCAGAACAAGGGGGCATAATCTTAAAATTAGAGCTAGCCATTTAGGAGTGAAATCAGGAGGCAATTTTTCACCCAAAGAGTAGCGGAATTCTGGAACTCTCTCCCCCAAAAGGCTGTGGATGCTGGATCCATTCACATTTTCAAGACTGAGGATTTTTGTTAGGTCAGGGTATCAAGGGATATAGGGCAAGGATGCGTAATTGGAGTTAAGGTACAGATCAGCCATCCTATCAGCAATAGGATGGCAGAACAGGCTCGAGGGGCTGAATGGTCTCCTCCTGTTGCTATGTTCCTATGTACATAATATTCAACAGAAATCATTAAATTGACAGTTATAAATGCTATTGTTGCTGTGTCAAAAGCCAAAATCTGAAGATATTAAAGCACAATAGTTTCTTTACCTTGAGGACATTAGGTAATATTATAGCATGAAACGCTCCATCGAGAAAATGCCGAGAATACAATCTCGGCATTTTGTCTGACTCTCAGCTCTCCTTTAAGATTTTTAATCTTTTCCTTGACCAATTCTGATTTCCTCCATCTCTGCAACATTGGCCACCCCCATCCTTACCTCATCCCCATCTCAGCCAAAAATCCTTATTCACTCCCATCACCTCCAGGCTCAACTTCTCCTATGTCTTTTCATTGGCCTTCCCAGATTAACTCACGTAATCTCAACTCCTAACTCTTACATGTTTCAACTCTTATTCAGACTCTGTGATGAACTATGAGATGTTTGACTGAAAGGCACAGTTATTGTGACATTTTAAAAGTCTTAATTTTGAAGTCAGTTTTTTAAGGAACATAATTGGAAAATAAGATTCCAAATTAGGATTGCATTTAAGACCGTTTTCTAAAATTCAACACAAACTTAAATTTTATGATAGTTTGAAGTCTAAGTTATGAGAAATTTCAGCCTCCTTGATGTGCGATTTTGCTCAGCCAGGTGTGGAAACCTACCACCATACTAATGAGTATCCAGACCATATATGGAACACATAGAAATTTCCATGTCTGGATTGGAACACTGCAGACCCACCTGGTTCAGGAACCGGGCTACTGAAAGACGCTTGACAGACGCTTGACTCGATTCCGATATTCCGTTGCCAAACACATTATCATGGAGCTCCAAGGAGGCCAGTCTTACCTCTTGCCCAGAGAGGATAGTCCCCTTTACATAGAAAGAGTGAAATGTCTTCCATTCTACCTGACCTCTTTCCTAACAGTGAACACACTATATTGTTAATAGACAAACGTTTTATTGTAATATTCTGTTTTACAGACTGAAGAGTTGAGTCCAGGATATTCCAAATCTAATGCAGTCTACATTGCAAAGGTAATCTAATCAAATCAGCGTTTGGTGGTATCCTGTGATGTGGGATAGAGGCGAGATGAGTCAAAACACTTGGCTATTGCCCTTGTGTAATAGAAACAAGTTTAGAATAATCTTTGTATTTAATATAGTGGCTATGTCACCAATTGTCAGTTTCTCTATCAAATGATCTCAATAGCCGCTTTTTTGGTCACTACCAATTTCAGCTGCTTCCATCTATGCTCCTTCTGAGCCTATTCTACGGCATTACAAAGGTACAATAACCTAGGCCAACAATAAAATGCCAGGGTTCACTTTTCAGTCTTAAAGAAATGAGGATGAAAATAATAACCTCACCAACTCCTTTTCCAATTATATATTTTTTTAAATTCCAAACGCTAAAGAATATTTTTTTGTATATATAATACACACACATTTTAAAAGTGATAAGTAAAATAATTAACACAATATAAATAAAACGGATTTTACTGACAATCTATTCTTGCAAAAAGCGATCTTTCTTCACAATACAAGAAAACACTCCTCTCTGTTGGTTTCTTCTCGATCCAATTCAGATGTTGTAACACTCGTGATGTTTTCCAGATGGACTATTTCAGAGGTCTGCACACACAGGACCTAAGATCTTTGAATTTAACAAATCATTGATCTGAATTTCAGGTCAGATCTTCAATGGCTCATTCTATTTGAGATCTGAAAGAACTTGGCCATCATCTTTGAGACAATCTCCCTGGAATATTTTAATTTAAAGCTACTTACACCCGAGGGTCCATCCACTACGCTGAAAGCAGATGTCCGTCAGATAGCTAATAAGGAAGCTCTGAGGCTTGGGCCTGTAGCTGCTAAAGTTCATGAACACACATTCATATATCCAGCGCCTGGAATCCACCTTGATTGGTATACAGAGAGGTGAACAGTTGCTGCTCACGCTCTGCACCTCCAACTGGCAGAACCATCACTCATTGGGAAGGGATGCATGTCTGAGCTGTAGGCAGGAAGATGATGGCAATGCTCTAACAGATTTCATCCTGAGCTGTGTTGCTCAGTAGAAAGCTCACAGGGAGTTCCTGGTACCTGCCATCCATCCAGTGAGGGATCACTGCTCTTGTCTTTTGTCCTATGACTAAGTAGGATCACCTTTGGCCACAGGGTTAACAGGAGCTGAGTAGGAAGAATCCTTGGCCCCAGTGACTGGTTTCTGCCCTGCCTATAGTCTTGCCGGCAAGCCTGGTCTGTCAATTAGCAGTGGCCTGGAGTTCTGAAGTACTAGAGTGGCCCGGCAGGGTGAAACCTTGCGCAAGTTTCCTTACTCAACACGCCTGATAATAATCACTCAAATTTTTTTTAAAAAAATTGGTCACTTCAATCCACGACTGTTTGTCGGACGCTGCCGCATTTCGCCCACAAATATACAGTCAATTCACTTTACAGTCTATTCTGTGAAGCGCTTTGAAACGTCTAGAAGACGTCAAATGCGAGGATTATTATTATTACTTCAGACTCACATGGCTCAGGAACCAGATTACCAGTCTGAGGTATCAGTCCCAGTGCCACTCCCAGTCCCAGCACTCTTAGACTTATGTTTGGGTCACAAACCAGACCTGAATTACACTGCTGGTGGTTTCCTCACTTTAGTCATCCTTCCAGCTGGTGACAGACCATCATCCAACCAGAGGGATGACTAAAGTGGTTTGGATTGTTTCACAAGAGTCTTAACTGGTTTTAATAAACATTGGTATTCAAATTTTACTGGAAATTTCTCATGTCTGGTTAAAGCAGACAGAATAGGTGCATGAGTAGCCCTGTTTACATACTGATTCACCTACAAAATACAGTCCCTCAACTTTAAAGTGTAGTCTCTGAAGCTATTTTAGCCAATCTCCAGACGTGAAAGCCACTGTATTAAATATAAGGATTATTATTTATTATTGAGTTGGACTGAAGCCGGGGACAGTAAATGGATTGGGGAACTACGAAGGCAGCAAAGATGCATATTCTACATAAATGGGCTTAATCATATTCCTATCTAGCAATATTTCCTAATTCACATAAAACACGGCAAATTTAGACTATGCACCGATAGGTTTCATGTGACATTTACTCTCTTGCCTTCAGTCTAACTGCACAGCAGTTTGCAGACCCTTTTGTGGAACGCCCAGTATTAGAATACTGGAAACTAATCAGTGCAGTATCACCAAAATCTATTCTACACTTCAACCTGTCATCATCATTAATAAGCTCCCATAAATGTGATCAAAAGTATTCATGTCTTATTTCTGCTTGGATAATAATCTTTGTCTTGTTAACAGTTCTCAAATCTCAACCAATCTTTTTTTAAAATTATGGTCCATTCTATGATAACATTTTTAACTATTCATTGACCATGAATTTGCCTCTTGCCACTATTTTGTACTTTACAGTTTTTTTCTGGTACTTGCAGTGCTACAGAGAACTTGGCAATAATGCAGCTGCTTTACAGTGGCTGGAATTAGCAAGTCCTTTGTCTTCCACGTCTAAAGCGGTAAGGAGGATTCAGCATACTTTCCCATCCTGGTTTGTATGAGTCAAAGTATTTCCAAGTTAGCCATCAATTGTTCATGAAAGAGTGCCCCCAACTACAATTCACCATTGTAATATTAAAACAGTTTCTTAACGTCAAGCTCAATTGTAAGGAGAACATAATTTTCAAACAGTTGAAAACTCTGCTTCAAAAACAGTACAAGTGGATACATTTTACTGTTCTGTGTGACACTGAAGCTTCCTAACAAATCTGAACTATAGCAAAGATAGACGACATTGATATAAGAATCACAAGAGCGAAAGGAAAGCTTAGAATTTTTTAATACCAAGTTGTTGAGACCCAGAGTGCACTGCGAAGTAAAGTGGTAGAAGCACAGTTCATTGTGGGATTCAAGAGGGAAATAGGCAGGTATATAAAGAGTAACAGCTTGAAGGGGTATAGGGATAGGGTAGGGGCAATGGGATTGAATGCACATCTTGCTCTGAGAGCCCAGAATTGATAAGCTGAATTGCCTCCTGCACTGAAAATGTCTATGATTCTATGCATAAGAAACGTCAAGACTTCCAATCCTTCATTCTTATGTACTTGCCCTCTGGGCTATCATCTCCCACTGTCTTAGCCGTATGTACTTTTTAAAAAGAATTGTGTTATCATTATATTGCGATGCACTATATTAAAGTGCTGTCCTTTCTCTTCCCCTAGGACCAAGAGGCACAGAAGGAGCTGGAAGAATTACTTAATTATCTCGTCAGATAAAGTGTTATTGATTATTTTGCAAAATGCTGTCATTTTAATCATAAATGGAGAGTCGTTTAACTGTGTCCTTTGCTGTTTAAACACATCTGATTTTTAATCAGTCTTCTCTGCTACTGTGAGATTTGCTCTGTGCCTGAACAACTACAAAATATCATAAATCATGTCTGCAGCGAGGTAGTCAGAGGGTGAGAAATTTCTCCAAGTTGCAAAGGATGCCCTTGTCTCAAATTCATTCATTGGAGGAGATGAACGATGGTCTCAAATTACTTGTTTCTTTTCCTGCAGACACCTCCCATTTGATATAAAGAGAGTGACAAGCCTCCCTAAAGGACCACTGTAACTTTCCAGGACTCCTAATCATATTCTTTAACCGTATCTTCATTTTAGCACGATTACAGATGCATACAGAAGAAAAGCTAACCTATTGTTAAATCTATATTTGTAGAACTGATTTGTGCTGAACGTTTTCAGTCACAGCAAGGCACGGTATAAAGTTTCAGAAAATATCATTGAAAGTTTGTTATCCTTAAGATAAAAGAGATTACCTTCTTGAGCTGAAACCTGCGCTTGTCAGATGTCAAATAATGCTCCTCACAGAAAAATCCCTCTTTCCCCATTACGAAACTCCTCTGCATCCTTCATCCCCGAATTTGGAAATGGTTTGGGGCCAGATTAAATCATCCGACCGGCCTCTAGTTGGCCCACTCTGCTCTTAAGTATCTGCCCCTCAGCGAAGAGCCAGCTGACTTTGGGTAAAAGAAAATACAGCACAAATAAATCCAAAGTTATTAGCCAAACCAAAACAAGAAAACCTGGAGGAAATCAAATATAAAAGAGTGGGGTACATACTGGGGGGTTCTGATGAAGCCAAAACTGCAAGTACATACTTTTTCTGGTTGAAATGGAAGGCAAGTGTAGTGGGACATGGGTTATTTTGTTGCTGACACAGTGAATTTCCAGACTGTGTTGTGCCTTCAGAGAGGTAAAATCAGAGCTAGCATATACATACCATCCAACATAAGGACATCGTACACAGAGAACACATCATTATAATCACTGAATTAAATAACTAACGCACAACAGTACAGAAGTAATCATAGAGAGAGGTTTGTATGCAACTTTCTCTGCCTTTCAGCATATCGCAGCTATGAATCTACTGACATGTTTTATTTGTGTGTGTCAAGTTTTAAAAATATTTTTTGAATTAAATAAAATAATACTTGCATTTGATAAATAAGTGTCTTAGCACATCTTCTAGACTTCTCAAAGTGCTTCACAGAATATACTTTAAAGTGAATTGACTGTATATTTTCTGGGTGAAACGCGGCAACCAATTGCCCACAGCAGTGTTCCACAAACAGTCGTGGATCAGTCGGGGAGCGGCAGCAGGACAGCGCGGGGAGGAGCCTGGGCCTACTGACCCAGGTACTTAAACTCGACGCCGGAGCGAGTGCAGCTAGGCAGTGGAGGGAGGTGTGGGGGCGGAGCGGGGGAACTGCGACGTCATAGATTAGTTTTCAGGTGAGTGCGCGCGCACAAAAAAAAAAAAAAAAAAAAAAAAACCCTCTGCGCCCCCCCCCCACCCCCCCCCCCGGGGCTCACAACAGAGCCCACTATGGTCCTGTTGGGTTCGATGCCCCAATCTGCGGGATAATGCCATCCCGGTCCCCGCGTGCGCACTATGGCTGCCGCTTTGACCCGAGCCCCCTCACCCCCTCCCTCCCTCCCCCCTCCTCTCTCCCCCAAAACCCTCCCCCTCTGCATCTCTCCCGCTCTCTCCTCCTCTCTCTCCGTCCCTCTCGTCTTCTATCCCCACTTGACCCTCCCACAACCTCCCTCTGTTCCAGCCTGGGAATCCTCCGCCGGGCTCACCGTGGCACTCGGCGTTGGCTGTCCAGCAGCAGCCACACCGACTGCCCCATTCCCCACCACTCTCGCCAGCCACCCCGGACACAGACCCGGGGAGTCAACCTCTCCTCCCTCATCCCCATCTCCCCCACCCCTGCCTCACAACCTGGACCCCCTCCCCTCCCACACACCCTTCTGTCAACCGCTCCCTCCACATCGGACTGCAAAATGTCCGCTCCCTCTGCAACAAGGCCCTGGTCATCAACGATCTCATCCTTGATGAGAACGTTGATATCATGGCCTTGACAGAAACGTGGCTCACCCCAGGCGACACCTTCCCCCTCACGGAGGCCACGCCACCCGGCTACACCTCCCACCACATCCCCCGCCCCAACCGCCGTGGCGGTGGTGTTGCCCTTATCTCAAGGACACCACTTGCCCTATCCCCCTACTCCACTGGCTCTTTCCCCTCCTTCGAGCACCTCACCCTCTCCCACCCCTCATTCCTCTCCCTTAAAATCCTCCTCCTCTACCGGCCCCCTAAAACCTCTCCCACCTTCATCTCTGACATTTCAACACTCCTCACATCTCTTTGCCTCTGCTCCGATCGCCTCATCATCCTGGGCGACTTTAACCTACACTTCACCCCCTCCTGCTCCATCTCCACAGACTTCTCTTCCCTGCTCTCCTCACTCAACCTTTCCCTACACATAAACTCCCCCACTCACAGTCACGGCCACCCACTCGATTTGGTGATCACCCGGGGCCTCAGTGTCTCGGATGTCACTATTACCGACAAGGCCATCTCCGACCACTACTTCATCTCCTTCACCACCTCCACCCCCCTCCCCACCTCCACCAGACCCACCACCATCTTCTACCGCCCTTGGAAGAAGTTACCCCCACAATCCCTAACCGATGCCTTGGAGTCCTCTGAACTCCTCTCCCTCTGGCCTTCAACCCTCACCGACCCCTCTTCTCCTCTCTCCCTCCTCCACAATATCCTCTCCTCCACACTCGATACTCTTGCCCCCATCACTTCCCGCACTGTCTCCTACTCCCGCTCCTCCCCCTGGTACACCACCCACCTCCGCTCACTGAAATGCCAGGTGCGGGCTGCTGAGCGCACCTTTGTCAAATCCGGCTTAACGGTCCACCGACAAATCTGGCTGGACCTCCTCAAAATTTACCGCTCCACTCTAGCCTCGGCCAAGTCGTCCTTCTACTCCAGGATAATCCTGGAGGCGAAGAACAACCCCAGGCTACTGTTTTCCACCACATCCCGACTCCTCCGTCCCCCCGCCACCCCGCGCAGGTCATCTCCTCCAACCTTCACTGCGAGGAGATGCTGGATTTCCTTGAATCCAAGATCAAGGGAATCCGCTCCGCGGTCACTTCCCCTCCAACTTCCACCCACCACCCACCCCTTCCCTCCCACACTCCGACTCCTACCCATCCTCCCCTACACACCTTCGTACCCGTTTCCCCACCCTCTGTCACTGAACTCATCCTATCCCTAAAACCAACCACCTGCTCCCTTGACCCCATCCCCACTCCACTCCTTATCTCCCAGCTCCATTTTCTTGCCCCACACATCACTGACATCATAAACCTGTCCCTCTCCTCTGGCTCTGTCCCCATTCCATTAAAAACTGCCATCATCACGCCCACCCTGAAAAAACCCTCCCTTGATGCGTCGCAGCTATCAAGCTACCGGCCCATCTCCAACCTCCCCTTTCTCTCCAAGGTCTTGGAAAGAGTTGTCGCCTCCCAACTGCGCTCTTTCCTCTCCACCCATTCTCTTTTTGAACCCCTTCAGTCAGGTTTCCGTGCTGCTCATAGCACAGAAACTGCCCTGGTCAAGGTCACCAATGATATCCTGACCATCTGTGACCAGGGCTCCCTCTGTCTCCTCGTCCTCCTCGACCTATCGGCAGCATTCGATACGGTCGACCACGCTATCCTACTCCACCGCTTGTCCTCCCACCTCAACCTTCAAGGCACTGTCCTTGAATGGTTTAGGTCGTACCTTTCTCACCGTCTTCACTTCGTCTCAACGAATGGCTTCTCCTCCACCCCCCGTACTGTCTCATGTGGTGTCCCTCAGGGCTCTGTCCTCGGTCCCCTCCTCTTCACCCTCTATATGCTCCCCCTTGGTGACATCATCCGCAAACATGGGGTTAACTTCCACATGTATGCGGATGACACCCAACTCTACCTTTCCTCCTCTACTCTCAACTCCACGACCACCGATGTCCTGACAGCCTGCCTGTCCGACATCGAGTCCTGGACGAGAGACAACTTTCTTCAGCTCAACGTGCGAAAAACCGAGGCCCTCCTGATTGGCTCACGTCAGCGCCTCCGCACCTCAGGCGCTGACACCATCAGCATCCAAGGCTGCACTCTCCACCTCTCAAAGCCAGTCAGGAACCTCGGCGTTTTGTTCGACCCTGAGCTGTCCTTTCTCCCTCACATCCGCACCACAACTGGCACCGCCTTCCATCACCTCCGGAATATCGCCAGATTACGGCACTACCTCACCCCTCACGCTGCTGAAACCCTGGTTCACGCCTTTGTCACCTCAAGGCTGGACTATGGGAACTCTCTCCTCGCCGGCCTTCCCGCCACCTCCCTCCACAAGCTGCAGGTCATTCAGAACTCTGCAGCTCGTGTACTGTCCCGCACCAGGCTTCGGGACCACATCACTCCCACCCTCGCTCGCCTCCACTGGCTCCCCATCCCCCAGAGGATTGATTTCAAGATCCTCATCCTCACCTACAAGGCCATTCACGGCCTTGCTCCCTCCTACCTCTCCAACCTACTATCCCCCTACCTACCTGCCCGTACCCTCCGTTCCTCTGGCTCCGGTCTGCTCCACGTCCCCGGCCCCAACCGCCCTACTATCGGTGGTCGGGCCTTCAGCCTCTCAGCCCCGAGGCTCTGGAACTCCATCCCCAGTGCCTTCGCCGCTTCCTCCCTTTCCTCCTTCAAGGCCGGTCTCAAAACCTTTCTCTTTGACCGTGCCTTCAGCTCCCCTCTCGACTCTCTTCCTCCTCCTCGCTCCCTCCCTTCCCTCCCTCACCCTGACCATTTCCCCTCCTCTCTCCCTCCCTTCCCTCCCCTCACCCTGACCATTTCCCCCTCCTCTCTCCCTCCCTTCCCTCCCCTCACCCTGACCATTTCCCCCCTGCTCGGGTCATGACCCAACTGTGCAGCGCCTTGGGACGTCCTCCTGACGTGAAAGGCGCTCTATAAATGGAATCTTGTTGTTGTTGTTGTTGTGGATTGAGTGACTTTTTTTTAAGGAATTATTACCCCCGGAAAAGCCATCAAATATTTGAATTTCTAGCTTTCAAAGCAAAGACTACATTACATCAGTAACTAAACCTGCAAACTTTGGAATACATTATTCCATACATTACAGGAGTTTTGGAGTAGTCCTGTTCAATATTCTGTTTGCAGAACTATGTGTGAAGCTGAACCTTGTTCAACCTCAGTGCAACATAGTGGATCCCTACAACTTAACCGTGCTAACTAAATAAAGCAAATCTGAATTTCAGTGTTCCTGTTCAGAGTACCACTTTTTTTTAAAAATCTGAAATTGTCATATATGGCCTTCAAATCACACATTATGAAAGCCGGATTTTAGCTCCAAACTGTTTTACTTAGACAAAACATTACTAAACTTCAGCTAATATTCTTTTGAACGCTTTAGATATATACCCTACCTGATAGCAAGAATCAGTGCATTTTTGATATTGTAGTCATAATTGTTGACTTTAAGTTTTGTGGTTCTATTTTTAAAATGCTGTTTCTTACTCTATGAGATCTTCACTGCCCAGGAGCTGATAAGTTAAAGATTTCTTCCTTGAGGCTAATAAGCACTGCTTAACTATTTTAATACTGTTTTCTATTGAGAACTCGTGTTCTAAGTTCATTAGAAATTAACAGTGTCCATCTGACTGACTGCCCATCAACCCACCCACAACAGCCTGATATTTGATTGTACATGTTTATGGAGTTTTGGCTGACATCTTTCTCCTTATTCATAATGTAACAAGGAAAATGATCTTATCTCCTAAATTTCATGAAGACAACATATTCGTACACACAGATATTTGTC